ATTGACTGTTGAAGGAGCTTCATTTTTGATTGCCTTCTGTTTGCTTTTTTCCACTTTGAACACTTCCAGTGTCTGAATACGCAGCACAGCACTAGTCCTGAACTTTTGTGTCGGCCCCGCACTGGTGCTGGCGTTAGAGACGAAAGGCCTTAGCTTGACCGTCACTACAAGAGGCCACATTTCTGCTTCCAAGCGTTTCAATGTAAACACTCTCCTCACCCTGTTCTGTAATCACTCCACCGCTAAGGGACTAAGCAACTAAGCGGACTGAAATGAAATTTTCTGGGGTAACATATAGCTTGCATAAAGCTGTGCTCAATGTTTGGATGGCTGGAAGGCCAAAGTCGGTGTTGAAAAGCATGACCGTGACCTATGGCCCGTGCGAACGTACTCGCGCAGGCATACGTACACTTGAACATGCACAGACTGAGACAGCTGAGGGAGTCCTCAAGTGTTTATAGAGGAGCTGAGTTTGAATGTTCGTTGACAGAGCTCATATTCACACACACACACACACATACAGTGCTCAGAGCTGATAAGAGCCGATCTGTTTCAGTGGCTAATCTTAAAAGTGATAAGGGTTCCGGGGGCCTTGGGTCTTACACAGAAATATCTTTATGTGGGAACTGGGCACTGCCCAGGAATTCCCAGTGGCCCCTCACCCTATGACACCAGTAAACAGGACCTTGCTTTCATTTCAAATCCTTTTCATATGGAGACTGGCCATATATTGCATTAACTGGAACACTGACCAAGTAAAAAAGAACCAGATGATAGTTGGACGTATCTATTAGCATCTTTTGCTCCCCTGTATTTCCTGCTACCCACCTATGTCTCCTCATATGGAGGCTGGAGGGAGTCCCTCACTCCCCCCTCCCAAACCGGCTCCCCTTATCACCCAACCCTGTCTCAGCACAGATCCTATCGCTTGCCTCCTAAGCTGACCGGCATTCACAAGGCCCCGATCCAGTTGCACGGCAATGGCTACGTTCAAGTGAAAAATCTAATGAGTCAGGGCTCACCCTTAGAGACGGCTCAAACAGATGAGGATTGAGTGGCCGGCATCGGGATCAAGGAAATGGTTGATCGTCAGACAAATTATATGACATGATTTTTCATTGAACATACAGTCTTTTGAATTGCAAGCTAAGAAGAATACACGCAAGACCCCATTTTCAGATTCCTCCTTTTTTTCTACGCATGCGTAAGATGACTCTGTAGATTCCCATCTGTCCTTTAACTTGACATAAGTTCTGGGTGCATAAAGCTAAGACAAAACATACTAAACTTGGTTATAAATACAGAGGGAGTTTCTTCAAGTCACAAGGTGTAGACAGTCTAGTCCAGCAAGATAGTTGTGTTCATTTTACAATTTTTTTCGCTTTCCAGAGTTGTTGACAGCCTGATATAAGAACATAGACAATGAAATGAGAGAAGGTTAACTTTAATGTTGAAAATGTTTAAGGGATTGGTGTTGAAGAGGACAGGCGGCAGACACTTGAACGCATGCATGTGAGTGCATTTAAGCCTTAACCACTGGTGACACAACAGGAATCGGAAGACAAAACTGTTAGCAAAGGCCTGCAGCAGGGGGTGGTGCCCAAAGCCTGCCGGGGAGGGTGTCTCGGCTGAATTTGAGATCGTCTCTGGCATGCCCGCACCGCAGCTGGTCAGTTAGAAATAGCTGAGGATGTAACTGAGCCCGGGGAAAAGGAGGAGCAGCCAGTTTCCTCAGGGATGCGTGGAGGGATGAGCAGCGTGTCTCTGTTTGTCTGCGTCTCTGCTTGTCTTATTTTTTCTCTGTCCAAGAGGGCCAGACATTTCTGACGTAAGCAGGGGATTTTAAAGCTTTAGTTCAGCATGTAGCAGGGCATAAAGTCTGAACTGATGACACAATAGGTTATCTACATTTTTAAAAAATGGTGCTGAGGTGTTAGACTAATGGAACCGCCTGCCATCTGGCAAATGCTGCTCCGATTATGGGATGACGTGATAATAGGTTTTTCGTCCCTGTGTGTTGTCTGTGTGACATGCTTGTTGAATTAATCACATTTCTAAGCATTTACACTTGACAAAGTGTTCTTTGTCAAGTGTTCTGACGGGGAACGAAAGAAAATAACTATTGGGTGATATTTTAGTGAGACCCACACATAAATGGGACATGCAAACTCCACACAGAAAGTCCAACTTTGAACTTGGTAAAAAAAAATCTCACAGTTTAAATTTGAAGTGGGTGGCACAGAATGGTTCAGACCATCCGGTTGGCTTGCGTCTTTCCTCAAGTGTTTTGTACGATTCAAAAAGTCCAAACACAAGAATGAGAGGTTATTGGTTATTTAGAACCACTGAGGTGTGATGGGGTGCAGGCTCTATAAGAAAGTCAGAAAATGAAAACCTCTCACGGGAGGAGGGGCATGGATACCTGCAACTTCATCACAAAATTCCACATAAAAGTATGCAGTCACATGAGGATACAGCATGTCGTTTTATAGCGATTTGTTCAAAACAAACAGCTCTTGACTTGCATGAGTCCTTTAGGAAAAAGGCATGTGATGGTACCATCTTATTCTTATATTTTGTTTAAGAATAAAAAAGAGGTAGGCAACCACGAAAAATCCTTTTAAAAAATCCCAAAACATTTTCAGTAAGTCAAGTTAAAAGTTAAAAATCTGATATATTCCTTTTCTCCTTTTCAGTGGTAATCATTTAGAAATAGGTTGAAAGTTAAGCAGTGCTCAATCCTAAAGTGAACAGGTTATCTCTTTCCCAACTACTGAAAATAGTTTAGGCCAGGTTTAAAAGAAAATGACAAAATTATATTGGTCGCTTTTTTACTCGTGTTCAACAACACCCTGAGACACAGAGATAGGGTATGACAAAGTTCCAAAGATAGAAGTATGCATAAACCAATATCAGTAGAGCTGTTAAGATGCTGGTCGTTAATACAGTTGGTGATGTCTGTGCATGCTGCTTACGGTTGACCATACTCATTCCTCTCATGGGCCTCTCTAAAATAAACTTTTTTTTAACAATGTCAATGCCATTTAGTCAGGTAAATTCACTCCAACTGGGTAAAAGAGAAACGAGGAATGGCACCAGTTCAGTGACACTGATCGGTCAACAAACCGGGAAAAAATAGGACAGCTGGATGACCAGTTGAATTTAAACAGTAACAGCCATGGACCCACTAATCTGCACTGTCAGCAAATCATCCAAAAATTAGCCCCAAAGCTCAGTATATTTGAACATAAATTAATTCAGAGTGACACTGACTAAACGTCACATCAGCTATCAGTAGACATGCACACAAAGGAAGAATCTTAAATACAGAGGCCGGCTTCTGTATTCTGTTACCTCTGTGTAAAGAGTAACCCACCATCTGATGTGATACTTACCTCGGCTGCTTTCCAGGCCTTTGTGGGCTGCTCCATTATTTAAATACTTCCCTACACAAATTGGAGACCGTACAGCAAATGACTCTTTCACATTTCTTTTTCAATCGTGTGAAAGCCGAACGCATCCAGGATCAGCTTCAGCTCAAAAGCTGACTGGCACGTACTCACCGGAGGCAGTGGTTCTCCAGAAAGTATCCCCACTGCACGGCGGGCCACTCCCTGTCGGGTTTGCTGATAGAGACGGAACTTTTCGCAGGTGCAGGAGACAAAGTCTGCAAAGTTTTCCATCTGTGCGGAGGATCTGTACAGAGATTTCCCCTTTTCATGTCACTCAGACCGCATTACGGCTGCACTTATCTGCAAAGAAAACAAGTAACCCAACAACCCCCCCCACCCAAAAAAAAAAAAAACCCCTGCATCCCAACGTGCAGTGGACTGATATCCCATCACTACCCATCTCTCTCTCTGTCCCTCTTCCTCTCTGTCCCATCCCCCTCTTCCTCCACTCATCCACCTCTCCATCATGCAGGAAATCTGGCCTTCCTGAAAACAAGTCTCAGAGCATGTAAAGGCGTAAAGCAGGCGGGGGGGGGGTGCTCGTACGTGAGGGAGAGCAGAGGATGTTTTTGTCGTTCTCCTGCCTCTCTGGTTGCTGCAGACCTCGCTGTAGTTCATCCTGAGGAAGCTGGTCTCACGTCACTCCGGCTACAATTTGGGCCCACACGTGCTGTCTCGTAGGGCCGGCGTGAGGCCCAAACCCACCGGCTCTAAAAAGGCCACACGAGAACAAACATCCCTTTTCAGATCAATAAAAGGCAGGGTCATCTGTTCAGTTATAAAGATGAGAACTTGCAGAAGACCACTTGGCGCGCCGCTGAACTTTTCCAGAACAAAAGTCGGCCACTTTGCCAGCTAACCCCTCTCTGTATCCTGTGTGTAGCTTCTGCAAACCTCCAACCCATCTGCCAGTGTGAGAATTCATCAGCACGTGGTTTTCCACAGACTCCCACTGACTGATTTATTCACCTAAAATAGATATTTTCAAAAGCGGATGCCACATGACGCACTGGTAAAAACACATACTTGTATACCGTACTTGAAATCTTCCTGTGTCTAACTAAAAATAATATATGAAGCATTGAAACTGAAACATTTTCCACATTTTGTGCTCATATTTAATTAAAAGAACATTTGCACCATGGAAACAAAAGACTTAGCAAATAGCAAATAATCTAACAGTAAAAAACAACAAAAAATGTGTTGCTTTCATTAACTACTTTAAATAAAAACGATATGAGGGAACAAACAATATCGAATCCATTTAGTCTGTGGTGGAACACCCAGAAGAGCCCTCTGACGGCAACTGTCATTGAACACTGCATCCATGCCAGCTGAAACTCAATCACTGGGACAGGAAATACCTATCAGATCCAGAGTCAACCACTTTCTGTGGTTCCAGGCTCATTAAAGATTCAATTAGAAGGATTGAAAAACAAAAAAGAGATACCCTCTGTTTCAAGTAATTGAACATTTAAGAGTCAGCATCCAAGGCTTCTGTGGTATGGATGTTCATTTAGAAATCATTCCATATTTGCAAAATTCACCATGTTGATACAGAATACAATCTCTAAGTCAGTGAACAGACCTACGTATGGGAACAAGGTGACCGGGAGTGGAGACAGATCCATGGAGCTCTGCCTGACACTGACAGAGGCCGTAATAACAGGATGTTTACAGCCTGTGGAAACTCTGCCACGGGCGACCACGGGCAAGCGGCAACTGCAGCTGGAAACACGAGCGAAGAGGAAATGCTGGCCAGCCTGGTTCCCTGCAGATACCCCAAATATAACCCCTCTGACACACAGACGCTACCTGCCCCGAGTAAGATAGGGTGGGTTTTAATGCACAACAACCTCTGACCCCCAGCGGATGTCGTCACCTTAAAGATTCCACCGTGCCAAAGCCAAAAAGGTCTCTTGCAGGTGACATCAGACTAGAAGATAGGGATGCTTCTGACACCGGGGTATGAGGGGTGTCTCCATTTGCTCATTAGAAGACGTACGTTGCACCAGTGTGCCACATCTGTTTCTCCACCTTGGCAATCGCCAACTTTGTCTCAACTTCGGAGTCCACCCCTGCAAACTGATGCTTGTAAAAACGAGTTTGTGGTTGAACTTTGAGTTTTTTCGTCCTTAAAATGAGCTTGGGGTTTAGGGATGAACTGCTGACAAGACACTGCCATTCAATGGATCTGACAAAGTTTCATAACTGATAACATAAGTTGTATAACTGATGACATAAGATTCTTTTATTGTGATCATTTAGGTTTATCCAGGGAAAAAAAGCACAGATTAATCACAGTGTTGTATCAGAGTCATATGCAGGAAACATCCAACTGACAAGTGCCTAACAATCCATAAAGTGTTTTCAGGCTGAACAACACAACATACTTGGGATGTGTTAATCCATTTCCCCTCATTCCTTTCCTTCCTCCATTCCTCTCCATCCAACTGCTTCTGTGAAAAGCCTCAGGTTTAAACTGTGACGAGGGCTTTCTTCCTGGAGGGAGGAAGATGGCGCTGGAAAGGTGGGAATTTCTCCGATCAATGCTCCTATTCTTTTTGACATGAGCCTTTTCTATTCGATGGGGGACTGCTGTTGCATTGTCACATGGAGGAGAGAAAAGAGACACACAAGGATCATCTTTCAGAGTAGATTTCCACTGATCTGAGAAATTCATATTTAAGGAAAGAGCTCTGAAAATCCACACATTGTTAAAAAAAAAGGCATGATTGAGTGAAGTCTGGGCTTTAGAAAAAATCTTTTCGCGAACATTTGCTTACTACTTTAAGTTATCAGCAAGAAAATATTGTTAGAGTATGAACATACACCAACTGCATATGCAAATAAAGAAATGCACAAAATGAAAGGTTAGACTAATGAGCAACAACGTGAAAAAGAAGCAGCTTTACAGTATGAAATAAACTTATCAACAGCTTTTGTTGTCCTTTTAAATCACTGAGACAAAACGAATAGCAAATAAACCAGATAATGGATGAGAATCGCTAAATTGCCAAATAATATATCTTAGAAACCAAGAGTGATTCAGCCCCACATTTCAAATTCAGCAATATCACTTTAGTTGCTATATTTGTACTACCGCTGAGATCATATTCGTCCCAAACTTTGTTAATGTAACATTACATTGGATGCTTGATAGATACTTTCAGGTGAAGCTTAAGAGCAGACATTGTTTCCATGTTAATACATTTGTTTTCTGACAGTATTTATAAAGCAGCTACATTAACTGTTGGCTCATAAATTAGCGATTAGCATTTAACTGTAATTTAACTGACATACCATCATGAATAAACTGTAGACGTGTAGTAATAACATTAACTACTCACAATAAATCTGGCTCAGCAGGGATTCAATATGCTTGGAATTAAACGATGTGTTTTACTTTTAATAGAAACTAATAAAAGATTGCCTCCTTGCCATGTGTCTTGTCCTGCCAAAGGACTTTATAAATAAGTATCCGCATGCGATGTAGTGATATAAAGGCGTGACTCCTTCAGCAGATGAGCAGAAACTTGCTGACGTTGCGCTGAATATTTGGAGACGTTGAGCCCGCATTAGCTTGGGGATGCCAACAAGTTATGGTTTCTCCAATAAAAAGCACGGGCAATTTTCCACTGTGCAAAAAAATGTGTGGCATTCACACAAACTCAATTAGATACTGGTGGGAATTAAATGTAGGCATGCTTTGACATTTAAAAAGATGCTGACTGAAAGATAATTCCACTATTTACAAGTTCACAGGATCTGTTCACTGTGACACAATCTAAGACTGAATCTTGTTCTTTATTTTTCAGCTAAAAAAGACAGTAAGTGAAGTGAAAGAGTCTTATTACATCCAATTCTTACTATAAGAACAGTGTTGGGTAAGTTACTTTAAAAATGTAATCCGCTACAGATACAAGTTACCTTGTTTAAAATGTAATTGTAGTGTAACTTTTTCGATTACTTTTAAAAAGTGATGTAACTAATTACTTTTGATTACTTTTTGATTACTTTAAGGTTTTAATGAGTATTGACCCATGATTCATTTTAGCATGTTATTATTAGCTATTGGCCTCAGCTAGCAGTTCAAGGCTAACGTCTTGTTAATGATCATAAACAATCCGGATTCAACATTTTAGTATCTATACTTTTTTAAGTATCGATACTTTTGACAACCCTAGTCTGAAATGTAGGACATGTCTGGGAAAAAGAGGAGTTGGGTAGGCTAGGCTAGGTCATAGACATCGATAAACGTTTGTCATGCATCAACACCAAACAGTCAAATATTAGTAAATCAATACGCTTCGTCTATCAGTGAGTTGCATATCTTGCAAAGGTTTTTCTTTATATCTTTTTAAAAATGTAACTAAATTAGTAATTCTTAATATTTTCGGAAGTAACTGTAACTGAATTACATATTTTCTAATTGTAACTGTAAGGAATTACAGTTACTCTTGTTTTGTAATTAAATTACGTAACGTCGTTACATGTAATCCGTTACTCCCCAACACTGTATAAGAAGTTAGATAAAAGTAGAAGCCTCAAAGCAATGACTATCAGAAATTAAATTAGGGCATTTAGTTATTTTTATAAAGCACATTTAGCACTGAAACCAGGATGGTTGTAATTTTGATAAGGAGTGAATAGTATCAGTACAGAATTCTCTGTACCTGCCGGAGTTCAGCCTTTTTACGCTGAACTCAACCGCTCAGGACAAGAAACCTTCCTGCGTGAACAGGAACGTTCTGACAAGATCCAGTTGGATCAAAGGTGGCAGATCTCTCGGGATGGAAGCACCCGGTGCCTGGCAGAGCTTCAGCATCCTTGCTCTGAGGAGGCGGAGTATTTGCAGTGACCCAGAGAGGGTCTGGGGCGGGATAGAGTTTCTGGGCCAGCACATTTACAGCACTTGTGTCAGAGAGGCACATTTAGTCAAGTTTCATGGCTTTCTCTCAGGTAGTGAGAGTGAATGTGGGTCATCCTTATGTCTGTAGGAGGCGGAACAAATGGATCTGTTTTCAGTTGGGTACTTTTGAATTAGTGATTTGCGGTGTGTAAACAGAGGGCAGTAAGATCTGCTGCAGATTTGAAATACACCTAAAATGAATGAGCGTTGCTTGGAAACAGCCTAATACATACATGTGCTATGCATTCATACTCTTTCCCAGATTTGAATAAGTGAGTCGTTAAAAAAAAATCAAATTTTCAAACACGAATTCCAACATATGATGGCGAATGCTCCAGGGCTGTCTCAAATTACAGACTTTCATAGCCTTGCTTGAAAGATCTCCCTGCTGTGAGATATTTGTAATTCAAGCATGATATTGAAGGAGGGCAGGAATAGTTACAGTATCTATGGCTAAGTCGTTTGAGGTGAGAGACCTCATTTGACCATAGCAAATGTTAAAGGCCAAAGATTACGTTTGAGGAGCTTTTAAGAGTTAAAGTGAAGAACAAGAAGAAGGAATTTTTAAAAACAGTTTTCTTTAAAATAGCAAGAGGACCTGATTTGAAGAAAAATAAAGCCGGAATCAGAACAGAAGAAAGTCCAGTCTTATGTCACTGTCACTCTGTCAATGATGACCGCATCAAAAGATTGGGACATGAAATCTGTTTTTCAGCACCCACAGGGCTGTCTCAATACTGCCCCCTGATGTGTAACACACACACAGCAGCCTGCACAAGTCCTGAGAGCAAATATGGCAAGGAAAGACCCCTGGAATATCCCCTAACTTAATCTCATTGTAGTAATACAGTGTGTGTTCTCATTATGCAACAGCACAGCTCCGTGTTGGAGTGTCAAGGTGATGATGATGATGATGATGATGATGATGATGAGGAGGAGGAGGAGGAGGAGGAGGATGATAATGGCTATGATGATGATGATGATGATGATGCCGATTGGTGTCAGCTTTCAGAGTTCCCCAAAAATATCCCCACAAATAGTTTCATCTCCATAAGTAGGAAAGGTCTGAATATGTGTAACAGGTCCAAAAATAAGACCTGGCAGGCATGCAAGCTGCCTGCAAGTAAATGATGATGATGTACTGTTAAATTGAGACATTTCTGCTAATCCCTGTGGCTCCCCTCTGCAGTGCCACAGTTCAGAGTGTGTTCTTAACTGTGCTCATCATGTCTTTGGCATAAAGTGTTGATGTGTTTTATCTCTGTTCTCTGCCAGGGGAGCAAGCAGATACTTTAATTCATCTAAACTGAATGTTAAACTGTAATTATTAGACTCGGTTTAATTTTTCTTAACCATTGCTCACACTTTCATCACTTGAAAAAAAAATCTAATTTTGCAATTTTTGAATAAGGATCTAAGTCAAGAGTCCTCAATTACTTGCAATGACTTTTCTGAATTTAAGAAAAACGTGAAAATTAAGAAGAATGAACAGTTAAAAAACAACACTTTTCATTTTAAACAGTTTAAACACTTTTTCAAGCATAATACCACTGGCAGCAGTAATAAATCATAACAACAAGACCCTCCTGACACTGGAATGCTAGCATTGTCATTGCAGACATTTTCCACATTCCAGCAACACGCAGGCTATATTGATGATATAATCAGTCAAGGTTATGCACATAGTTTTTGTTTTTCATTTTCATAGAAAATCTGTTTTCAGAAGAAAAAACATGTTGGACATGGCTGAGAATGTCATTTGATAATCTGTTTTCAGAATAAAAAACACGATGAACATGGCTGAGAATGTAATTTGCCTTTTACAAGGGTGATGTACAGAATTTATTTTACAGACTTTGCACATTTCAAAAGCTGGAAATCAAGAAATCACGGCTCACCATGATAAAAGCCTTTACAATCCTTACTTAAGAAGTGTGTGCTGTGATCCCCCCACATTCACTGTGGCACAGTCGCAATGTAAAATCCCTCAGAAAATTAAGTGTCAAAATCTAATCTTACAACCTGCATTGCAAACCTACTCAATCTGTTGGAAAATTTGCCAAGAACAAACGTAAAAGTTTACCTCAGTCTCCATTCTGTGGTGCAGTCCAATTGGATGCATGCTGAGTGTGTTTCACCCAAATCAGCAGCGTGTATTATTAGCCTTGTGCAATATCAAGCACTTTTGCATTGGCCTACACTTGGCCTACCATTTAAGCATCTTCATTTATGTACATATAAATAGAACGGCCCTGTCTACTGGACACATTTTTCAACCAACTTCTTTGCACAGTGTCCATTACATAGCCTATGCATCATATTTCTGGTGAGTGGACTGTATATAAGCGTGTGAGAAACGCTGAGGGGGTTCACGGCAGCCGGCAGAATCATCTGAGCGAATCCACTCTAGTCCTAGAGATAACTCCAAGGTGAGTTTCACTGAGGAGCTGCAGACCAGTGGGCTAATCTCTGACTTAAATGGTGTTTCTTCGTGAAGTGGGATTTAAATCGCTCAAAGAGTCAAAGAAGTCCAGATTCCAAACATCAGAAGCCCAGATTTTGCTTTTGGACTATTGGAAAGGAACCAAATAGGGGGGAAATCAACTTGTCGAGCACAGCTGCAAAGGAGATTTGAGTTTTTGTCTTGGTTTTGGCAAAATTGGACTACCTTTTCTGATCATTTGTGCCTTGGAATATACACAGAGAGGGACTGTGAAATAGAAGCATGGCACTGAATGGGTTATTCTAAAGTATAGTGAGATATCATAGACTCAGGATTTAAAGTGTTTCGTCCTGTCTGATTTTTTTCTGCAACTGAATTGATGACCTGATGTCTTGTTCTATGCTCTCTTCCCTCAGTTAAAAATGGCATTCGCCGGACTTCTGACTGATGCTAACATCACTGCAGCCCTTGACGCCTGCAAAGGTAAAAAACAGAGATGGGAACAGATGAACGTGCATTTATTGAGAGGAGAAAGCCGATGCGGTAGCTGCATGTGTAGTGAACTCCGACAGGCTTTACAGGGAGCAGAGGATGTGCTGAATACAGATGCAAAGTTTAGTCATTATCGCTTTAGGTCTAAGAGGATAGAGCAACCTATAAAGGATAAAGTCAAACACTAAAATGTTGGATGCATAGCAAGCAACTACAACCAGAAACTGGTCCATCAGCAAAAAAATAAAAAACACTTCAGGTTACTTGTGGTGGATCTTCAGTGTTGGATGTGATTCTCTCTGTATCGTCTTACAGCTGCCGACTCTTTCAAGCACAAGGATTTCTTTGCTAAAGTCGGCCTGGCTGCCAAGACCCCTGATGAGATCAAGAAGGCCTTCGCCATCATTGACCAGGACAAGAGCGGCTTCATTGAGGAGGACGAGCTGAAGTATGCATCCTCTCTTAGATTTCGCCAACCGGCTTCTCAAAGCTCATGTTGAGCGGGGATCGCCTTTCTTGGGGCCAGAACGAATTAAGAATGATGTCATGCTCTCAAAGCATCCAAGAAGCTTTGGCAGTAACCTAATACCAGCCCACTTCAGTGGCGTCTCATATTGTAGGGTGTCACCTTGCAGAGGGAGAAAGGATGGGGGAAATTACCAGCTTAAATTCTTGGGATCAATCAAAGTCTTTTACTTCTCTTTTTAAAAAAAAAATTCTAATAATTCTGCAACGGCCCAAGGCAAATACAGTAAAAAAAAGAAAAATAATAAAGAAAAGTTATCAACATAAAGTATTTGGGGTTTTCTAACTGTTAGAGTTCATTCGAAGTGAGTTTTATGAGGAATAAATGCAGAGAATCCAGCATTGGAACGTTTTTTACATGCATGGCTGAAAACAGGTGTCTCTCTGATCCGCCTCCTCAGGCTGTTCCTGCAGAACTTCTCTGCCGGAGCCAGAGCTCTGACCGACGCCGAGACAAAGACCTTCCTTGCTGCCGGTGACTCTGATGGTGATGGCATGATTGGAGTTGATGGTGAGGAAACTATACCATTCACTCATTACAACCTAAGGATATTGATCAATCTTTGAAAACTGAAAACTTTGAATCTTTGCTGTTCGCTGGAGCCTAACTAAGGAACAATAGATATGACGTAAAGACTACTTAAGAGATTTACCTTTAAAAGTAAAAAAAGAGCATATGATTTTATCTCAAAATAGTATTGAAAGTGATTCCCTACGTGTCACATCAGATGTGATACATGCTGGCTTCAGGTCCAACGGAGAGATATTTGTGTTACGGCTGATCTCAACAGGTTAAAAAAAAAAAGCAACGCAAAATCCAAAGAAGTTCGATTGACTCTGTATCTTTCTCTCTCCCTGTGCAGAGTTCGCTGTCATGGTCAAAAGTTAAATGGACAAACTGACCAACATCTGACAACCCTAAAGGAACAACTTGAGCCAAGACATACTCTTCCTCTCTTCTTCTCCTATTCCCACTCACTCTCTCTCTCTCTCTAGTCAACTCTCTGCACCAATTTTATACATTTGACCTTTGACCCGACCCTCCTGACCACAAACAAACTGCCCTCTCTCTCTCGCTCAGGACATGCTCACCCAAGTGCTATCCACGATGAATGTACCTGACTAAGTGTTTGGTGTGGTTGACTTGTGTCTCTCTCTCTCTCTCTCTCTCTCACTTCTGTCGTCGTTTTATTTTGTGAGATTTGCGTGCTGTGAAATCAGCAATGGTGCACTTTTATGGGAAACGGACGGACGATGAGAAAAAAACAATAAAGGTTCTTTTTCAGTAACAGAAGCCTGGCCCTGGTCTTTAGTTCTCAGCTGTGAAATATAAAATCAGTGATTACAGGTTTTGCAACACCTTCTTAAATAACAAATGAGGAAAGAGTTGGAACTGATTCAGAGGAGCAGTATGGCAACAGGCATTAACTCTGGAGAATAAGAGGATCCTGGAAAACTAAAGCCAAGAGGAAGATCTAAGAGACCTAATTAATTTTGATCGCTCCTCCACATTAGTACACAACAGCTAATAATGAAGATAAGACTTTAAAAATGAGTTTTAAAGGAATTTGGAGGTATCATACAGTCGGGAAGGTAAATAATGCACAGTCCCTGAGCATGAAATAAAGCCCAAAAAAGGTTTTTCATAAAGTTTTAGCCATCAATTATTCTTTGTGAATCCAGAAGAGACACTCATTTCATTAGTTCCGATAGTGTTTATCATTGTGTGTTGTAGTGAGGCCGGAATCATGTGGGTGTTCCTGAATAAAGCCCTACGAAACATCACTAAAGGCCATCAGACTTTTCCCAGTTTGCAAACTATAAATTCATGACATACATTATTGTCTTCTTCCCACTTGTTGGAAAAAGGCTACAAATAGGGCCAAATTAGTACAGTATGTCTATTATTCCTGAGTGGGTTTTAAGCTGGTCCTGTGTTTATATGAAACAGCCACAAGATGGAACCAACGAGACATAATGCTCAAGAGTGACAACTAAAAGGCCGTGACGCAGTTTGGACTGATTCTTTTCTTAAATGGCAGAAGGCGTTTGTGCAGAAGTATCTCAGAGACATGGAAGAATGCTCACATTTAAAAGATGAGAAGGCAAACCAACACAAAAAGCGAAAGTTGGAAAAATGCTTTATTTATTCCCCTGGTTCTCATTACAGAAAGCATCTCTCTTCTTTCCGGTAAAGCCATTAGTGCTGACTGGATTCACCAGAGACGCTGCTGTGTCAGATGGTTGTACAGGCGGCAGCACACTCATCAGTTTAAAGTGGCCAGTTGCCATGGTCGCCAGTCGCAAAGCCCCTTTTGAAAACATCCTGGGCCCGACGTACCTTGTGCCTTGGACTACTCCTTCAGGTACAGGAGTGACTGTCGCAAGAGCTCTCATTGATCATCTAAAAGATGTTCAACAAAGTAGTAGTAAAGTCTCACGAAGAAAAAGAAATTAGTGGCCGGGGTGGTGTGGTGGAGAGCACCCGGTTTGAATGCCTGGGGACCGGGGGAGTCTTTCGGTGTGGAGTTTGCATGTCCTCCTCTTTGGGTACTCTGGCTTTCTCCCACGATCCACGTGTGCGTTTGGTTGGAGATCGCCAGTACGAGAGAACCTGAGCGTGTGCGGTTGTTTGTCTCTGTGCGGCCCTGTGATGGACTGGCGACCTGTCCAGGGTGAACCCCGCCCCCTCACCGCTGGGGTAGGCGTCAGCTCCTGATCTGTGACCAGACGAAGAATAAGACAGTTGATGCATATGCAGAACGTTTCTAGCTGTGGATAGTGTTTGCTGGATACATTTTTTACATTTTAGTAACAGTTCATCACCGAAGGATCTCTTGGAGCTTAGACTTCCAGAACTTTAGCTTTTTATAGCTGTTTTTAGACTACTAAAATCTAATGGGAGAACATCAGTGTCCTACATAATGCAACATTAGGCAACTTTTCATTTAAAACCTAATTTGTGGCTTGATTTACTCCATAACCATCTACATTTAAGAGATTATTTACTAAAACTAAAAGAGGGCAGGAGCCCGATTAAATATGAGATGTGTGTAAGCTTTCAGAAGAACTGAGATAGAGGGAGGACAGGGAGGAGGGAAGGGAGAGGAGGGAGCAGTTTAACACTCAAAACAAAAGTTGATTGGATGAAACCCACACAGTCACAGCAAAGAAAAGGAATGGGAAGAGACAGCGGTGTCTAGCGGATGCAAACAGTAAAAGTTGACAGGTGAGCAGGTGAGGAACACGAGACGCTGGCTGCCGTGGCTGGTGGAGAATTTGATCCCCGGATAGGTTGGAAACTCAAGCATCCTTCTGCACATCCATCCAGGAGTATATAAGACAGTGGTCAGGAGTCTCCACCGAGCCTATTCTGCTGCTTTGGATCTCAGAAGAGAGGAGTCACCAGAGGTGAGTCAGACACACAGAGAAACCCCTCAGAACAGATGCTTTCTAGATCTCTCTTTTGATTTAGCTGGAGTTTATAAAACTTGAGGCACATCTGGCCTTGAACGAATCTCTTTGTTAAACCTAATGACAAGAATTTATTTTACAAAATCCTCCAAAGTAATGATGCACAGGACAAAACAGGGGATTTGTGGCTAAATTAATAATGTTAAGTCTGAGGTCACATAACATGAATAAAAACTGTTGTATTTCAAAAAAGACAATTACAAATAGAACAGGAACACAACATAAACAAGGAAGCTAGAGCTTAGAGGATATATCTGTGAAACTTTATGAACCTTATTGAAGATTTTCTTTAGTTTTTTTCATTTGGAAAAATATATTTTTGCAGCCTCTTTATCTATCTCATGCAAATAATTGTCATATAGTAATGACCCAGTGTACCAATTATTATGTACAGCCCATCCAATTAGGTAATTCAAGGGAGGTAAATAGCCTCAGTGAGAAGCTACCAGGGGAAATCTATTTAAATACCACTATGAATGAATACTCAAACAACAAATAATTTTCCACATTTATATATATACATACATACAGTCGTTATTATATTTAAACATCATAAATGTACATTTTGGTTGTTGCTGTGTCTTAAATGTGCTGATATTCAGTATGTTAGAAAATAATCACAACTGGAGTTTGGGATCATGATATTAACCTAGAAACAGTTGCGAATGGCAAAAAAAAGTTAATCCACCATGACACAAAAATGAACACAGCGCAAATCACTGCTTTGACGGGGGAAAGACCTTATGCATCTGGAAAGCAGAGAAAGTTCATTGTGTCTGTGTTTGTGTCAGTTAATAATTCACACAGCCTCTGTTGTACTTTACAGGACCAACATGTCGCTCACCTCCATTCTTTCAGCCGAGGCCATTGAGAGCGCTGTCAAGGACTGTCAAGGTGGGACCAATGCTGCCTCATTTGCAGCTAATGATTGAAAGAAATTCTAATTATGACACACAAATTATTCAGAGTACTGCTTAATTTTGTGTTTTGAGCTTAATCTCCCCCACCCCAAGACCAAAAACTCACAAATTCACACCTTAATTAAAATGAATTGCACAGTAATGAGAAGTATGGCTCATAATCTGTATTGTTTTAGTCAAATTTAAATCTTGATAGTACTCTTCTTCATATAGTCAAATAATACTCCCCCCCCCTACGACCGATTATTTTTCTATATCCTCTCTTCTGAAGTCACATGCCGCATTAAAACTGGATGTGAAAAGGTTTTTAATCACTTTGTGCGTGTGTTTTAGTGAAGGCATGTGCCTGATGGCACTCAAAGATGAATAGCAGGACTGAGGCCACATGCTGTTTTAATCCCAACATCAGCCTCTAAGCTGATGACCCTCAGACTGAGCTTCAACTCTTAACCGTCCCTTCTGCTTTTAAGCATTTCCATGTGTGTATGTGTGTGTCTGGGTGTGTCTGGGTGTGTGTGTGTGTTTACAGCTCCAGACTCATTTTGCTACAAGAAGTTCTTTAAGCTATGTGGCCTATCCTCAAAAACACCAAAGGAGATCAAAGATGTCTTTCAGATCCTTGATGAGGACAACAGCGGCTACATCGAGGAGTCCGAGCTCAAGTGCGTAAAGTGTTCCCTTTGACGTGAGCGGGATGCAGAGCAGTGCTGCCAGTAAAGAGTATTTTGTTCTGGCTAAAGACAATGAAAATATTACACAAGGCTGACTCGGTGTCTCAGTGCTTTTTGTGAATTTGTATAAGTCATTAGTTCATCCATATGCCAATTGTTTTATTCCACATATTGACATCCATTAGTGTGTGTTTTTGTAGGTTCTTCCTGCAGCGTTTTGTCCCTGGAGCAAGGACCCTGACTGAAGCAGAAGCCAAGAGCTTCATCTCCTCAGCTGATGATAACAGTGATGGCAAAATTGGAGCTGATGGTCAGTATCTGATTTCTCAAATTCTGATGGCATAAAAATTCCAATGGAGATTGAAATTACATAATTTATTGTATAACTGTTTTTCTAATGTTTTTATTAATGACTGTCTGTCAGAATTTTACAGACACAGAAACATAGGATCTATATCTAGATCTAGATCTAGATATAGATCTAGATATAGATGAATAAACAAGGCAGATTAGTTCAGTTGTAGAAATATGTTCAATTCTTTATATAAAGTGGCATTGGTAAAGTATACTGATGTAAATGTCGACAGTAACGTTGAACATGCTTTATTTTTTCTCCAGAATTCCAGGCTATGGTCCTGTCCTGAATGTCATTTCACCCACCTCTCAAATCTTCATGTCCCAGCTTCAATACCCAGGGATTTGATTTCTTTTCAGAAGCTTATGTCATTTTAAAGACAAGGGCTTTGGATGTGTCTTTTCAGTTGGTACATGTTTTCATGTCTGTGTCCACCCCATCTGACAATAAATAAAAACTTCTAAAAATGGTAACATGCATCTGTGAACAGTCTCTTTAATAATCTCAAGAGTGTACGGTTATAAGTAGGGTTAAGGGGTATCAAAATATCTTATGAGAACAAAAGATGATAAGTTTATAGTGTTTCTGCACCTTGAGAAGACATTCTTGTATATTTGTGGGAAAATTCAGTGGAAAACTGCACATTGATCTTTTCTAATTACACTGTGTTGCACATCTTTATATGACATAGTTGATCATTTCAAACAAGACCAATATAATAACTTCAGTCAAGACCCCCAACGAAAACGCAAAATATGTGCTCTTGAAGAAAAATGTAAAGATTAATATCCCTATAAGTCAAAACAAGTATATTGTTACACCTTCACAATATCCACCAACAATTACAAATGAAAGTCAACCCCCCCCCCCCCATACACACACACACACACACACACACACACGTAATGTTACACAATCCGCAGAGTCAAGTGTCCACATTCTGTAATATGTTTCATTTAACATATCCACAGTTTTTAACACTCGGTGCCCAGTGCATTCATGACAGACGTGGAACCTTTAGCTCAGAAGCACTGTTACCCGAACGATTTAGCGTGCGACACGACGCTGTCAAAAGCAGGAAGTCAAGAATGTGAGAAATAATGCGAGCGGCATCTCCTGTCATTGATTTAATTTCCATACTTTTTGTTTTGATAACACACCTCATAACTGCGAGTACCCTAAATGTGCGGTATGTACACTCTGTGAGGTGAGTGTTCTTGTCGTTTTTCAGTTAGGTTTTCGGTTTGCATGCACAACGACGGCTGCTTTGAGACCTTAGCTAGACAGCTAGCTTCTCTGGCAGAGTTGGCTTCTGCTTGATGCTGGCTGTGTAACACTTAATGTGCTGTAGTAGTACTTGTTACGCTGCAAAACTGACCGACAACCAATTTTAGTTTGCAAGTTTGTTTAAAAGTACATTAACTGTCGGTGTGTTAAAAAAAGAAGCATGTGAAAAGCTTCTTATCTCCGAGATGTGCAGCTCGCGAGACTTCGGATGAAGGCGCTCATCTCTGACAAATTCTCAAATGTACCCTTTAATTTAAGCCGTGTGTGGTGTCAACGAGCGTCTTATAAGTCCCAGACGCAAATAACAACGTTGGACGTTCCTACGACGTGTATCTCAAACAGCTGCTCACGTTGAGGGGAAAGTTCAGATTATCCATCGGTTTAAAATGTTTTAACAGGACACCGATAAGACGTTTATAACCCATTTGGAATTAGGATCAATGAGTCATGAGCGGTCAATGGTTTGCAGACTAGTTTGGTTATGTAAAAGCTGTAGGCAAATGAACCCTATGAAGGGAAAGTTGTGTAGTCAAATATGCAGCTACAATAAATATTTCAAGTTCAACGCCTTGACTTGCATTCCACAGCATGCTCTTTGACTTCTCATTGTATTCAATATAGATTTGAGTTTGAATTAAGTAGATTATGTTCCACTATCATTGTAATCTCGCACCATGACAAGTGATTCAAAGAAATCCTTTTAAAAGGTTCACATAAATGCATTATTGGAATAGATAACCTCTGACTTTCTAACTTTGAGCTGTATGTGTTGGGCCACCAGTCATACATTTATGATTATAGTTTTGTTGTTAAACTATGTGATTATGTTTTTCATCCTTATCCAGGCACACGGCATGCTAATCAAATTGTCACTTGAGCAAAGGAAGTCCAGACACAAGCTCCACTAATGCTCATGATAAGGTAAGGATGATGAAAGGCTGGCAATAGTGGAGCCTGATTGAAATGATGTATTGTTTTATCAGTTCTGTTGTGTGTTCATTCCAGCCCCAAAATGGCCTCAGGAATGCAAGAGAAACAGTACACAACATCTCTTCTTAGTTTTTTCATCTATAACCCCACATTCGGACCACGGGAAGGAGAGGTGATGGACCTTTTTTACGTTCACATTCTTACACCTGACTCCACCTCACCTGCTAGGGATCTACCCCCTCACAGGGTGATAAGATTACTAACAAAAGGACTTATTATATTTCCCAGGAAGAGAAGAAGATTTTGTTCTACCACCCAAGTGATGTTGAGAAGAATGAGAAAATCCGCAATGTGGGACTCTGTGAAGCCATTGTACAGTTTACCAGGTACAGCATGGTTTCACCATGGCTGCATTAGTTTTTTTGTTTGTTGTTATTATTTCCTGATACAGTGATGAAAGTAAAATCCCCAAATGATGTGCTGATTCCCCCCCCCCAACGATTCTTTTGTTGCAGGACGTTCTGTCCAACCAAACCAGCTAAATCGCTACACACACAGAAGAACCGTCAGTTTTTCTTTGAGCCTGAAGATAATTTCTGGATAGTCATGGTAGGTAACCAGCCTCACTGTTTCCTCTGTGTGTCCAGGTCTCATTTAGGGCGAACTTTAACTTTTGCCTTGGGTTGCTGTGTCTGTTGTTCTCCTCAGGTGGTACGAAACCCAATGATAGAGAAGCCAAACAAAGATGGCAAACCTCCCACGATAGAGTATCAAGAAGAGGAAATACTTGTAAGTACTCAGATGCACCTGTAGATTTCTTAATACTTTTCATGAAGTTATTGTTTGTTTTATGATTGATAACATTCTTTCAGGATACAGTTTATGGTGCAGTGGTAAGGCAGTGCTACAGTATGTACAAGGTGAGTTTTGGGATCACTTTTCTACTTTAAGAGGGACCCTCCTGTCCTAAAAGCCTTGTACAAGGCAGAAAGAAACTTCTTGTCTCAGTTGTTTTTCTCCATATGCTTTAGCTCTTCAATGGCACGTTCAGTCGAGCTATGGAAGCTGGAGGAGTGGAGCTGCTCACTCAGAAGCTTGAAAAGTTCTTCTACAGGGTAAAGACTCTTCGCGTGTACCTACTGTGTCTTTGTTGCTAGGTGGATATGTGTTTTTGTTTGTTTACCATTTGTGCTTTGCTTAAAAACTCCACATGTTGTCTTTGACCGAATGTCAGCGATAGTGCAAACATAGCTGTTCATAAAGAGCCACCTGAGCCTGGCATGCAGTGTTTTCACAGGGACAGGGCTCGGCCGGTGATGTTTGGACATGCAGTCCAGCCTCACGTTTCTATGTAAATATTGAGCTTAAACTCAGAAAGCTGAAACATGTTTGCAGTCTAAAATATTGGTCCCTGCGGAATGAGCCGGTAGTGCTTCCTGCTGCCGTCGCTCCTCTGGAGTAGCACACCTCCTGACTGGAACGCCCATGCCCCAGTCTAAAAAATTCATTTCTAATTAGGGAAACCCTTCTTAAGCCGACACGGGCTTTCCTCTCCAATATGTAACCCAAGGACAGAGAGAAAAGAAAGAGAGAGGCAGTGGCCAGTCTTATCAGAGGTTGAGTGTCGGTGCTTCTCATTCCCTCCAGTGATGCAAGTGTCTCTGTGGAGTGTCAGTCATGAGTTTCTGGTTCCGATGTCTTTATTGGACGTAAGCAAGCTCTTGTAGGCAGGTAAACTAAGCCCTTTCTCCTTTGCTTCTCCTTTGGCCCTGTGTGTGTGTGTGTGTGTTCACCGTGGGGTTTCCAGTATCTCCAGACTCTCCACTTGCAGTCGTGCGACCTGCTGGATGTGTTTGGGGGCATCAGCTTCTTCCCTCTGGACAAAATGACCTACCTGAAGATCCAGTCTTTTGTTAACAGAGTGGAGGAGAGCCTCAGCCTGATCAAGTACACGGCCTTCCTCTACAACGATCAGCTCATCTGGTACATACGAGCCTTTGTTGACGCCGTTTGGACGCCTGTCTCTCTAATCCACTGTCAAACTGTCCAACCTGACAGCTTCCTTAAATTATCCTCCCAGAATAATAAGATTACAGCATTAGCATGTTCAATCAAATAAATAAATGAATGTGTGTGCGTGTGTGTGTGTGTGCGTGTGTGTGTGTGCAGGAGCGGACTGGAACAAGATGACATGAGAATCCTGTACAAGTATCTGACCACCTCGCTGTTTCCCAGGCACTCTGAGCCAGAGGTAGGTGGGTGGCGCATGGATATGAAGAAATAAGAGAGGCTGATTAGTCAAATAAAGAAGGGATCAAAGGGTTAGGGTTTCCCGGGTTGATAGGGCTCCTAGTATTATTTCAACCCGCATTGTTATCCTGCACAGTAACCGAACTCGGATGCCGCACATTTGCAGCCTGACCCTTCTCCACTCTCTGTTTTCTCGTCTCAGCTGGCCGGCAGGGACTCTCCTCTGAGGCCAGAAGTAGCAGGGAATCTGTTGCACTACGGGAGGTAAATCCCCCAATCCCGCCTGTATCTTTCTACCTTTTTTTTTGTAATCCTACCATCTGCTGGCGTGCATGATGTGGAGGAATGTCATACATGTGCCGCCGCGTCAAAAAGCATAGCACACATCTCATGTGACTTCCACCAACAGATAAGTAAATCAGATCAGGAGCTAACTGTTTTTGGTTAACACGTAGCAGTGCTCCTCAAAACGATGAGTTTGGCTGCAAAGCTCCGTATTGTCTTTGGCTGTAACTAAGGATAGTCTGCTCTGGTGTTGGCCGGCTCACAAGACTTATCAGGGACTTATTATTGATTTTGAGAACAGTGCAAAACTACGGGGAGATTCTTACTGTCCTCTCAAGTGACAGGAAGCCATTTCTTTTTTCTTTTCATTAGATAATTGCTTTGAATAAAAGAGAGTGGCAAACACTCGGATATCTTTGCTGGATAGGGGCTTTCACAGTGTCCCGTACAGATGAGGAAATGGCGAGATTAGATTAGCAAAAAATTAGTTCCGGAAAAATGTGAAAGTCAGAAATAAATAAAACTCAGAACGACTTATTGTTTATATAGTTTAGTCTGGAAAACTGAAAAACCCAGGTATGTTTAGTTTTTTTCACCCCTCTAAACTTATGAAGGAGGCAACCAGTCCCACTGCAAAGCACTAGACTCATCTCGTTACAAGTTTAATTTTCACCTCTCCATAAGTTCTTTCCTCCCTCTGTATCTCATACAACAAAAAAATAAGAGGAAACATAAGAATGTGTGTTACTTTAAAAAAAAAAGTAATTCATTGTTCACTGTTCTTAATTTCACTGTGGGGACAAACGGTGTCCTCTGCATACCAAAAAGAAGATAAAGCATCCATTCATTCGGAATTATCTAAACAACACAGGGTGGATGGGGATTTATTTCTACCCCAAATCATTCTTCCTCAAATATAAATCTGCTTTAATTTGGAACCCATATGATTTTTCATCCTGTTTTTTTAAATCCTCAGAAAACGGTTGCTGCATTTATTCAAATTCAGATCATGACCTCCTCCTGATTACGCCAATACTTAAAACAGTCCTAGTTTTCCATTTCCAGTCCTGTAAACAGTGTCTCCTCTTATTGTGAGGGTTTCTGCTGACCGTGCCTTTGTCTGTTCTCACCAGATTCCTGACTGGACCCACCAATCTCAAGGATCCAGAGGCCAAATTCCGATTTCCCAAAATATTTGTCACAGCAGAGGACGGCTATGAGGAGCTGCACCTGATTGTTTACAAGGTGCGCTGGAGGAAATGGGACGCTGTTGATGAGCGAAATGTTCCACATTTTGTCACATGGGTTTGCTCACTGGGGTTTTTTAATACATCAGAATGTTGAATAGCTGTCATGTCCTGGACCATTCTCATTTTCTGAGATGGTAGGATTTGACTTTTATTCTAAGTAGATTTAGGGTTGAATAACACTCTCCTCTATCAATGGAATTTTGTATTAGACTGAAAATTTAAAATTTTTAAATGATGGGGCATTTCCCACAATGCTTATCATCACATTCATACGATTGCTGACCTTTATGACTTAGATTCTGCCCCTAACCTTCACCCATCTGCTCTTTTGTAGGCAATGAGCGCTGCAGCTTGTTTTATGATCAGTGGTAAGTACATTTTTTAATTTGATTTAAAAAAAAAAAAAAAATGTTTTTGTTAAGCTGTATTCTGGCTTGTTTACTGCCCATACAAAGACAACATCTTGCATTTTCTCAAAATCATGTTTCACAATGAAAACTATCTCATTCCAGCCTCTGTGGAGCTGACAAGGGAGTTCTGTGAGCAACTGGACAGCTTGGTGGGCCCTCAGCTTACTTTGTTGGCGTCTGATATATGTGAACAGTTTACCATTAACCGCAGGATATCTGGGTCAGTAAAGGATCAACCACTCTCTTTATTGAACACTAGTTACCCAGTGGAGGTAGCGTCACAGGTGCCTCATCACCACTATTCTCTTTACCCAGCACAAGATTATAAACTAAAGGAGAAAAATAGGTTTGTTACTGGTAAAGACAAACAGAATATGGCATATGGCAGAAAATATCACATATT